ACAGATAGGTAGATAGATAGATAGATAGGGAGGTAGATAAATAGACAGATAGATAGATAGATAGATAGATAGATAGACAGATAGGTAGATAGATAGATAGATAGATAGATAGATAGATAGGGAGGTAGATAAATAGACAGATAGATAGATAGATAGATAGATAGATAGACAGATAGGTAGATAGATAGATAGATAGATAGATAGATAGATAGGGAGGTAGATAGATAGACAGATAGATAGATAGATAGATAGGTAGACCAACCACAACCATTCTCAAGCAGGCACTCATCATCGACATGACAACGGTGATCCTAATCCGTAAAACCCGTATCAATCAGTCTCACTAAGGCTCCTGCTCGTTTGTCTTGCACATTCCGCGTCAGGACCGGATTTTGTCATAAGTCCGCGCTAAGCCCTAAGACAGTGGGGGGAGCTGACATGGCCAAAGGGTCCAGGCTGTTCGGACTCTTGAGGCTTCTGGCTTCATTCAGTGTCCTTTACAGGCTCGTTTTCTGCACACTATCAGTCAAAACTCTCAAAGAAACCCCTACAGAAACAGAGAAAACCCTACAAGGAGCCGAGTTTTGAATTAAAAGAACCTCTTGAGAACCCTAAGCCCCTAAAGCCTGAACCCAAAACCCTCAAACCTAAGCCCTCAGACCCTAAACCCAAGGATCCTCTTCAGAACCCTAAGCCCTCAGACCCCTTGGCTTCCCGAGCCTGGCCCGGACTTCGACCTCTGGAGCTCCGAGCGACCGGAGTTCGACCTTTGGAGCTCCGAGCGACCGGAGCTGCCGGCGCGACCTTTGGAAACTGCGGAGAACGTCTTAAGGTTTAGGGTTTAGGGTTTAGGGTTTAGGGTTTGGGTCTAAGAAAAATAGTACGAACAACAATAACAACAATGACAAGCAATAGTAATAATAAGAATAATAGCAACAATACCAATAAGAATATCAACAATAACACTAACCATAGTAGAAAATAGTTGTTTTTAACACTGATAGAACTAGTAGAAATTATGATCATACTCATAACCATAAAAGAAAGTGTCCTCTCTTTACGGCGTCCTATACATTCCCGCAGTATAACTACAGCTATAACTGCTCTGCTTGGAGTTTGAGTCTGGAGTGAGGGTGATAGATTTTGGATCTGTAGTGGGAGGCACCTTAATCCGGGTTACAAGCAGATACGATATAACCATAGGTGCCTTGATTTGTTCGCGCAGTTCTCCATCCCTTGACCCCTAGACTGCCCGAAGAAACCCTTCAATGTCAAAAACCAGCCCGACTAAAATCTGATAGCACACTCACAAAGCCCTGTATGAACCCTTATTAAACAAACGAAGCAAAACCAGCAAACCCCGCCTCGGCGCCGGGGCGCAGAGGGTGTAGGAGGGCTTTCGAGGCTCTCCGCAAAGGGCCTGGGGAGGTTGAAGCCCCAGAGTTTAGGGCTTGGGCTTCAAGGTTTAGGGTTTAGGGTTTAGGGTTTAGGGTTTAGGGTTTAGGGTTTAGGGTTTAGGGTTTAGGGGCTTGGGCTTTAAGGTTTTCGTAGGGCTTGGGGTCTTTTAGGGTTTGGGGTCTTGGGGTTTAGGGTCGTTGGGGGTTTGGGGGCTTAGGGTTGAGGGTCGTTTAGGGCTTGGGGGGTTTAGGGTCCTTGGGGGAGCTTGAAAGCTTCAGAGGCCAAGAGAAGACCTGGAGAGCATGCCTGTATGGTGGGGTCTGTGGAGTGGATTAGCCGCATGTAAGGAAGTGAAGCATGGACCACGATGGCACACCTGAAGTGTAAAGATTCCCAGGCCTTCCATCAGCTTTGACAACACCTCCTCTCAACATGCTCCTGGAACCACTGTCAGCACAAAAAAACCCAGAAACGCAACACTATACTCTACTCTGCCATACTCTACTCAGCTATGCTCTACTTTACCATAGACTCTACTACACTCTACTATACCATGCTAGACCCTCTCTTTACACGGGCCTGCCGGGCCCGGCTGGGCACCATCGCTTTCCAGCCTTGGCTCCCGAGTACTCTTGAAACGCGAACCATACGCTTGCCTGTATGCTTAACTACAAATAATAACACAACGTAAAACTGAAAATAATGTCGATGGTAATAATGGTAGTAGTAATCTGAAGAAGAAGAAGAAGAGCAACTGTAAACAATAATAGCCTAGTAACCGATGGCCACGCCAGTACGTTGTGATCCTCCAGGGTCGCCGCCCCAACCCCTGACCCCCAAAGCTGGGACAACTCTGGACTCTTAAATCTTACAGTGCCAGTGCCGAAGCCTTCAAGATGATCCTCCTCGACATGAAGCATGCACGGCACCCTGACATACACACACACACACACAAGGCACTCCGGGAATTCTCAAAAGAGCAGACCTTAAAATAGACACTCAACAATCAATAGGATCCCTTTTCGGAGCCCTTAAAGGA